CACAAAAGTGTCTGATCTACTGGTTTATACAGAGTAGATTTCCTCCACTGGAAGGACACAATCTACTGCTTATATGTCTATGTGTCTTTGTGTCTTTATAGAGACAACTCATTATCGCACAATTGCACATGAATCTGCGGGTTCATGTGAGTCCTTGCAATTACCACTATCTGAAATTCGCCACTAAATTCGCCTCACAAACGCATCCATTAGGAATTGGTGGACAGCAAAAATCGCTGCCGTTCTACAGCAGTTTTTGCATGCGGTGGAAATTTGGGGTTACACAACCATCATAGACTGGATAGAGAATGGAGGTCGTCTGCAACCTTGCTGGGTGAAGCCTCTGCAAGAACAGCACCCTCTGGTGACTGGTTGCAGGATAGGTCATAAACCCCGCCTCCTCCAGCAAACTTAATAAAGTTATGGACAAACTTTAAATATGAATTGTTGACACGTAGTAACTGTAAGACTGGTTTGTTCAAGTTTACTATGATAGACACGATGATTGCATAGATCATTCGTACAGTAACAGGAGGCGGAGCCATGTTGTCCATACTATAAAAAATCTATGGTGTGCACATGTGTCAAAAGTGTAATGAAGGTTGCACCACACCTCTTGTTGAAAGCTGTCTTAGAAGTCCACAGACGGTGTAAAATCAATGTTTTGATATTGGTTCCAATGTAGATTCTAGGTTTTATAGCCTGCCTCTAGTGGACACTTAAGGAACTGCAGTTTCATGCACACATCATGGTTGGTTTCAGTGTCAACACTTAAAGTCGCTGGTTGATTGTGACTCTGTAGAAGCTCAATATGGTTAGTTTAAGTAATAAACTCACTCATATGTCTGTTAGATTTTCCATCGTTGATTTTGGATTCGTCTCGTTCGCTGAAGCGCCGAGCAGCGATATGACATCATCTCTTTTAATCCTGCGTGACACGCTCTGCCTGGATTTCAGGGTCGGGAGCCAGGTTAGGTGTATGTTGCATCATCTCTAAAATACACTAAAAAAAACACCCGCTGTGATGAATGAACATGTCAGTGGGTGCAACAGTGAGGCTCACCCGTGTGTTTTTAACACTTCTTTGGCACCGGTGGAGCTCCGTGGCACAAAGGGATAAGATACACCAGGCTTTGGCATCACACTGGGATCAAACCGATTGTTGGCTTCAGTTTTTTTTAAGGATTTAAGGGCAAATATATATAAAAAATATCAACGGATGTATTCATTTAATGAGAGAGATAGAAGAGCGAGGGATTCGTAGAGTTTTTCTGACAAGATAACCATTTGATCCTCTTGCATCAGGGCATGTATGTGCCAGAATAGTACATCCTTCCCGCAGTGGGTTAGGGTTTTTGTACGAACAAACAGTAATCAGAGCAGGGAAACCCAGTGGGGGGGCAGCAGAGAGAGAGAGAGAGTGGGTGTGATGATTACTGCGTGCTGTACAGAGAGAGGGGAGACGAGGGGGGAGATTACACTGAAGGGATAACTCAAAGCTGATTGAAGGCCGTGACGGGACCCGAGCACGTGACGGGCTCATGTTGATATTACACCATCATAGTTCCCCTCTGACTCCCGCTCCACACAAAAGTTCAAGTTTAAATTTAGAAAGTTCAAGTGCTTATTTTCTGACTGAACAAAACAGCTGGATTTGTTTTCTGTGTTTATCATCAAAAGTTTCTCCCTCAAAAAGCTGATTATTCTGAGCGTTTCGTTGATTTGTATCCTCTCCATCCACCAGGGGGCGCAGCCTGTACAGCTGAGGGTGTCAAACAATCCTCGCAGGACTTCACAGATGATGTCTTTCTTGGCAAAGGTAACTCAAGACAAACTCACAACACTACAGCTGCTCCTCTTCTGACTCAGGTTGTGTTTTGTTTGTTTGTTTGTTTGTGTTCGCCCATCAATATCTGATCTGTTTGCTAAGATACACAAGCACAAGTAATGCCAAGATACACAATCACAATCACAATCGAGAGAATGAATGATGTACCAAATGTGAAAGTTCAGGCTTGCGGTGGATGATCATGGGAGGAAGTTTTGCATCCTTGATAGGCCACTAGAGGCACTGCTCCAGCTAACCACTCCTATTCTAGACAGGGTAGGACTTATTACTCAAGTAACCAGGTTGATCGGTGTTTGGGATGACCATCAGGAAGTTGGTGAAGTCCTTTTATAGGAGAGTTGGTCTGTTTGTTGCCGCTGAGTGTTGTGGGAAAATGTAAATAAAGGAATCTGGTTTAAAATCTAACACGGCAGATTTGTTTATGTTGCTTTACTGAAAAAATATCATCAATCCTGATTTAGACATTTAACACATCGTCAAAAATCATGTTGACTCACATTGTTTTGTATAATATTCTATAGTGTCATATCACATCATATCATATTGTATCACATAGTATCATATTGTGTAGTTTCATGTCATATCATTTTGTATCGCCTCATATCGCACCATTAGTACTGCACTGTATCATATTGTTTGGTATAGTATTGCATAGTACCATATCATATTACCTTACACTGCACCTCATTTTGCCATACATCTTATCATATCCCATCGTATCACATAGTGTTGTAGTGTGTCTTATCATATCTCACCATGTTGCATCATATTGCATAGTATCGTTTCATATCGCTTCATATCGAACCATATCGTGTCATATAATGTTGTATAATAGAACGTATCATATAGTATTGTATCTTGTTGTATCATATCGTTTCGTATCATTTCGAATCTAATTGTCTCATTTTGCACGATAGTACTGCCTAGTATAGTATCCTGTTGATTTGTATTGGATCGTATTACATGATTTCGTACCATCATGCCTCAAAATATACTGTATCGTGTCATATGGTGTATAATATGATGTGTTGGATCGTATTGTATCTTGCTGTATCATATCCTATCGTTCCCACCCCCCATATTACACCATATCGTGTCATATGTCGTATCATATCTCACTGTATTGCATAGTATCCTTTCGCATCGTTTCGCCTCGTATTGCACCGTATCATGTCATATGGTGTACAGTATAATGTAAGGTATCATATATTATTGTGTCTTGTTGTATCATATCATATTATTTAGTATCTTATTGTCTCATATTGCACAAAATCAAGTCATATAATGTCTCTTCATATCTCATCCTATTACATAGTGTTGTATTTTGTCATATCTTATCTCGCCATATTGTATCATATTGCATAGAATCGTTTCATATCGCCTCATATTGAACATATCGTGTCATACGATCTATAATATGATGTGTGGCATAGTATTGTATCTTGTTGCATCATTTCGTATCATTTCATATCTTATTGTCTCATATCGCACCGTATTATATCATATAATATTGTATCATATCTCATCGTATCGCATAGTGTATTGTCTCATATCATATCCCACCATATTGTATCAGATTTCATTATACCTAATCACATTGAATTGCATAGTATGGTATCATGGTTTCGTATCGTAATGTCTCATATTGCACAGTATCGTGTCATATGGTTTATAATACAATGTGTCGCATTGTATTGTATCTTGCTGTATCATATCTGATTGTTTCATATCGCCTCATATCGCATGTTATAATGTCGTATCATATCTCATCCTATCACATAGTGTTGTATTTTCTCATATCTTATCTCACTATATTGTATCATGTTGCCTTGGCTCATATCACATTGTATTGTGTCAGATTGCACTGCATCCAACTGTCTCATACAGTACTGCTTATGATCACATCATATCGTATCTTGACTCTTCTCGGTGAACTCCATCTGTATTCTGGACCTAAACCGACTGTTTCACTGCAGATACAGCACCTCAAACAACCCTGCTTCAAAAACATGAACTATCCCTTTATCGCGGAGCGAGTTAAAGTCTTTCAGGACGATCTTAAGCCAGTTTGATTGTCCGAGTTTCAAAGACATGACTATTTATAGATTCTGCCTGTCAGGCAAAGCTCTGCAGATTTTACATCTGAAAAACACATGTTCAGTCGTCGACCATATTTTATTCATGGAGTCGCCGCGTATCAAACCTTAATACTAACTCGGAACAGAGCCGACACACTGTCAAACTCTGCCTTCGATTGTCAGATTTCTTATCTTCTCGGTGAAGACAGGAGGATGCTGGTTCTGTCATATCTCATACAGGTGAAATCCTCAGACTCACATCTTGATTTTAATCAAACTCTGGAGCCCACTTTGTAGTTTTTTTTTTTACCCTTCAGGCTCTAAAAGTTAAAAGTCTCGACTCGACGACACCTCGGATAAGTCCTTTAGGTGGGAGGAGTCTAATGTTCTCACCTTCCCGGAACAAGATGCTCACTCGGCTGAAATAACCTCGAGGAAACGGAGAGGATGATGACACACCGAGGCCGCCGCTCTGTTTGTTTATGACGCTGCGTGTGAGTGTTTGTGTGAGGTTTGGGAGGCTCCCTGCTTCACAGAAAAGAAGGAGAGAGGGGTGAGATTGGGAGAAAAATGGAGGGGAGAGATGAGGGTGACAGAGGGAGAGGTTGGTGTGTTTTCAGCTGATCCACTTCCTCCCTGATGTTGCCTCTCATTTGTCTTGGCTGGAAAGTGAGTACAAGGCTGGAATACTGATGACTCCTCCTTTCCTACCTCCTCCCTCTCTTTTTCTACCTCTCTCTCCTTTCCTCACCCCCTCCATTTATCCTCTCCCCCGCACACACTCTTCACTCTGTCTGCTCAACTGATTCCCTTCCTCTCTCTCTCTCTCGTTTTTACCCTCCTCATCTCGTCGCTCTCCTGATGCAGCTGCACTCTGTCGACCCAAATTTCCCATCCTCCCCTCCTCTCCTCCTATCCATCCCTCAATCTGACCTCGCTCTACCTCTCCCGCTGTTCAGTCTATCACTTACTGGCTACATTATCCTCCTCCCTCTTGCTCTTTTGTGCCCTCCTCCTCTTCCTCCTCTTCTTCATCTTGCCTTTAGCATCCTCCCTGTCTTTTCTGCTTTTCTCTCGTTTTAGCGCCAGCTCCCCTCGTTTTGGTCTGCCTCCTGTCACCTCTCCGTTTCTCTTTCTTTTCCCTTTGGTCCGTGTGAATTAGTTCCTGGTCTATGTGGGTCACGGGGGTGATGAGACGTGAAATCAGAGGTGTGTATATGTGTGTGTGTGTTCCTGGGAGGAGAAACAAAGAGGAAACAGAGTCAGACTGAGACAGGACAGATCTAAATCAGAACAGGTGACGTCCAGGTGGACCTTTACGAAGTCTGAAAGAGAAAACAAGCTGAGTTGAAAACGTGAACATCCAAAATCTGTTTACTTCAACACCCTGAGACATTTTCCCTCTGTTTTGAAGCTCGATACGTCCTCTTTTAGATGCTTATTGGTACTAGAAAATAGTCCCCCAAATCTCCCAGGGTCTTTTCAGAGTAGACGGTTGTGGACAGCTCCTCTGGACTTCGATGCCAAAATTTCAGAAATAACTCGAGTTTTAATTTGAAGAAAAATTTTTGGACATTTTGAACCTGAAAAGTTGAACCTTGGTGATTAAAATTTGGTATTTGCACATATTTTTTTCAAGCAATTTCTATCAGAGCCTGCAGACTCTCCCTTCTGGGGTTTACAGATGACAGCGGGGTGCCGCAGCTCAAGGAAGAACATTTATGATCATTTCTTTATCATTTCCTTGAAGTAATAATCATCATTAATCATTTTACAAACGCGGTAGTTCTTCTGCCTTAACGTCTCATACATGTTCTTCCTTGAGCTGCGGCACCCCGCTGTAGTCTGTAATGGACTGGCCTGAGGTCTCTCTACAAACAAGCGGCTGCTGGAAGAGAGTAGGTGAGTTGTGTTTAGTCTCTTAGTCAAAGTTAAAAAGATGTTTGGTGTCTAGTACTATGTCTGTGACCCTAAATGTCCTGTTGATGAAGTTAGGTGCTGTTCTGAGCATTATTTGTGACTATAGAGTGGTGTTTTGGTCGAGGTTTGTTTATGGCTCCTCAGACCGCTGTGTATTTCTATCGTGCGGTCGTTACTAAAGTTGGTATAACTAGAGAAGCAAGCGGTCGACAACATTCATCTCTGGAGGGGGGGTCTGACTCGGTGTTACGGTGTGTTTGACTCTAAATTAATTTTACGCCGGAATATCCCTTTACATTGTGCTCTACATTACACTGTGCTGACACTGACACTTGGTGGCACCTTCGCTTTTATCCCTGAGTTCAGTTTAAATGTCGCTCTTACTTTTATCTTGGATCGATGTGACAAAGTTTGAGAGTACCAGGAAGTTGCGGCTCCTGCTGAGGTTAACCTTGGATCGCTCTGCTCAGGTTCAGACTCAGGATGATACATGTAATATGATGCTTCATATTCTCCTGGAGAGCTCACCATGTTTGTTTTGGAGTTTTTCCACCTCTGCATCCGTCCGCTTCAGTCTGTACCCTCCCCTCTCAGCATCCCTGCCCACTTCAATCACTGCAGGAATAACAACAAGAGAAACTGAGAGGCTGCAGATCCTCCTCTAACAGGGCGCTCACACCAAGCACGAGTAAAATCATCGCCATTTATCTTAATTTTAACAGTGAACAGTGCCAATTCAACCAGCGAGATCAAGTCATAGACAATATTTTTCACAATTTACCAGATAATCCGACCTACTCACTCTCTTTCCTCCAGGCGAGCTCCTTTTTATTCCTGTTTTTGTTCAAAAAAATCTGTGGATACGAGAGAAGAGGAGAGTCTCCATCAAACATGGTAGGAGTGAACCACGTGCTCATTGCTGCTTTATTTTTGTCGTGGACGGCCCACAACCGTCAGAGACGTAGGCGTCACTGTGTCTGGGTCTCCACCAATAGCTGCGCCTTGATGATGGCCGTGTCCAGCGGTATTTTCGGGTTACCCAAACCCAATTTGACGACTTGTTGGTGAGGGTCGGAGCCAGGATATCCCTCCAGGATACCGATTCCAGGCGCTCTATCCCAGCTGCAGAGCGTCTGTTCATCTGTCTACTGTGAGGAAAAGATTTGAGTTTCTATTTTCACACCAGTCAAAATCTTCTTGTCTTTTTTCACGGGTCATTAGTCATCAGTTCTGAGTCACCTGGGAACCTTAGTGCTGGTTGGTTATTGTGTCGCGAATTTTCGCTTGAGTTGAGATCATTGCAAAGCTTGCAAATTTGCGTCCACTCAATTTGCGTCATTCGCGCCGCCAGAGTAGTACAAGCATCTAATTGTGTCTTTGCACTGACTTGACATGTTGTTCATTAGCGTGAATAACTTCACTCGTGCTTGGTGTGAACGCGCCGTAAGGCTGGATTTCAAACTTTACTGAAAGGACAAGTTTTAATAAGCTCTAGTGTCCTTATATGGGACCTTTAGCTCTGTAATAATCTTTTAAGTTATAAAATAATCCCACCAGTCCCCCCTGATATCACATCAGGCTTTAATGGGTCTCCTCGGACCCTGTTGGAGCCTCTTGTCTGATGGTTCACTGAAGAGTAGGAGACCAAATTTCTCAAAGATCTTTATTCTTTCAGCTAAACTTCGATAAGTTAAAGAACAAAGTTTTGGATTTTTTTTCCACCTCATGAAAAATGGATTTTCAAACAAAGTCTTGTGTTCATATTTTTGTTCAGCCGTCGTCCGGAGAAGCTCGCCGCTCCCTCCGGCGTCACTGCGGGTTTTTGGAAATTGGAAATGATGTGAATTGTGATGCATTTATTACAATTTCTCAAAGTCATCCTCTGTGGCCAATTCAAGTTTAAGATGATTGAAAGTGAAATTCATTTCATCCTCAGTGTCACCTAAATTGCCTTCTCTGCTCGGTCTGTGCTCCCCCGGTGACCGGCGCTTTTTGATGGCGCTCTGTCTCCCTCTCATTGTTCAATAAAAAAGACATGATTTATGAAATATGTCATCAGTGTTAGCACAGAGTTACAGAGGAGCAGAGCATCTCCTCCTCCTCTCAGGGACTCCAATCCATCACAGGATGACCGGGCCTCTGCAGAGTCCGATCATAAACGCGGCGTTGTTTATTTGTTTCCCTTCATTTGAGCTTCTGTGGCGCAGATTGACTTGTTGATTGACTGCTTCATGGACTGTTTGATCGACCGCGTGTGACTGGGTGCTGTCACCGGCAGGCTGTTTGTAGGAAGCAAAGTGAACAAAACAAAGCAAAGTTTGCTTTCAACACGACGTTAACTATCTGAGGAGAGCGCCGGCGTTCTCCCGGGATGATCTGTTGTCGATGAGATGAGGTTTGACAGCTCAGCAGACAGCAGCCTCGCAGCCTCTCACTCAGTCTTCTTCTCCTCTCCTCCTCTGTACCAGGCAAAGAGCAGCCATAAGGTTGTCTCCCTCCTGGTTCATTTTTACAATCTTCTGGATTTAATGAGCATCTGCAGCCGAGCAGTCGATGGTTTGCTGATGAGCAGGAACTCGTTTGTTTTGATCATCCGCTTCAAAGTTGGAAGGCCGGATAGATTTTCCCTTTGAATGGAGTGGCAGGAGATCTCGGCGGCCGTGATGAAGAAGGATACTTCCCGAAATGTCAAATCAAAGTTATGGTCCAGAGAAGTTAAAGCCTAATTCTGCAGGAATCAATGCGCGATGGAAGATGGAGAGGGAGGCGGATCATGAAGGCAAAGAGGTCGTGATGAACTGTGGGAGTGGAAACACAGAGGTCTGATAAACTCCCTTTAGTTCATGACTCACAAAGTTTGCTGCTGTGGGTTAAACTTTCATCCAGAGACGTTTTTCTCTTCGTATCGAACCGTCATCAAACTCTCGCTGGAGTAGGAACAAAACTCTGACTGACCATGTTTAATATCTGCAGGAAGAAGAGCAGCGACCGCACTTTAACAAATCAACCAAGGAGCGGATGTTTTCAAGACATGCGTGAACTTTAATGACCAGCAGGGGGAGACTGCGCTGGTTACACAAAGAAATAAACGACTCCAGATCGGAAATGATTCAACCTCTCCATCGATTATCTGCCACAGTGTTCAACTTCCTCATGAGCTGAAGAACTTCATCATGTAGATTATGATCCTGTTACGAGTTTAACAATAAAGAGTTAAAGTAAAGTGAGTCAGTGATGTGAAATAACATCCCTGTCAACAAGATAACACCGATTAATCTGAAGTAGGGCTGCGCGATTTTAGCCAAAAATTAAATCCTGATTTTTTTTCTCTGAAAACTCGGTTTTCTATTTTTTATTCAGTGACAACTTCACCAAACTTCACTTTAATAAATTTTTTTTCTCTCATCTCTCAAAACGAAACCACTGAAAACGATGTAGTGCATATGCCAAGCCAGTAAGTGGTGCTGTGACGCTGAAGAAGAGTACAGAGCATGTGTATAAAGGTTGTTTTGGCGCCATAAAAGAGTTCCTCTGTGTGTCACATGATCGTTTCCAGAGATGCAGATAGACATCCACACGGAGATGAAATGGTCGTCGTTTACAGATTTATTCACTCTCTGACCCGTTTTCAAAAAGTACCGTTTACAGTCACCTGAAACGCCGATACGACAAAAAACTTTAACGTTTCCTCCTGAATTAGTTTCCATGGTGACGGGTTGATACCGCCTTCAGACAGACTTTACAGCGGGGAGTGGTTTACTCTTCATCTGAAACTGTGAAGTCGTACCAATTCAACACGACTGACTCGCTCTTGTCCTATTTAACCACGAAATTATCGCCTTCTTTAGTAAACGCCACGTTTGTTTACACTGGTGTGTGTGGGAACTGGAGAGCCTACGGTGGCCTGGAGACACGACACATGATAGAGAGGAAAATCGATTTGAGGCTTTTAATTTTTTTATCATCGCCATAATCAAAAAATCTGATTATGATTTAAAATCGATTTATAGTGCAGCTGTAATCTGAACTTGATTTTACTTATTAATAAACTATTGATTTAAACCGATAAAACAGGTTTAAACAGGTAAAAATAAACTCAGTTTTAGCTTCAGGTGTCATTTTTATGGCGATGATTTCCTCTTTAACCTGCTCGCTCCTTGAATTAATAATAAACTTCATGTTTTCACTCACAGTTAACAGATTCAGAAAGTATAACTATTCTGTTTTCAGTTTCTTGTCACTCAGTAGCGTGGCTGTTTTCTTCAGTTTGATAGATGTCCTTTAAACATCCCTATATAGTTTTTATGTAGTTTAGCTGTTTCTTATCTCCTGTCTCCACCTGAGTCTTACTCTAAAGAACATATATCCACCACTTTGTCAAAGTGAAGTTTTTGTGCCTTAACTTTTTGGTTTGTCTGAAGTTTGTTTGTTTCTTAATTTGCTGTTTTTATGAATATTTTTACACTTTTCCATTTGTTAAACCTGCTGCTGTTTGTGTTATTTTGTTTGTTATTTCACACCGTTTAAGAGCGTCCCCTCACAACAGAATTAATGAAGCGACGAGGACGGAAAAAAAGGGTCGGATCTATTTCAGATGTTTTCAGTCAGCGGCGGTAAAATAAATTACTTTCAGTTGTGGCGTGAGCTTTTTAAATAAGGATGGCGCGCATGTTTGCTTCCATTAAGTGATCCTCATCATTACTCCAAGGTTAGCTTTTGATTTAATTTGTTTAAAGTGACGTCTCTGTCAGGAAAAAGCATAAAAACATGATTTTTCCTCTTACCTTGAGAGCTATGAAGGCACGTTAAGAGTTTTTGTTTGTGAGTTGGTGCCTTTTAAAGACACAAAATAAAGGTCAGAGTCTGAGGACGTTCAAAAACCTCAATGAGAAGTCTTTCTTTAGACTGAACCGTAAAAGTAAACACACCGTAGTTTTGTGTGAACTGTTCCTTTAAACACTGTTGGCTAGTACTTCATGTCATTCATCCACATCCACTCGTTTATTCTCTTTGAGATCCATCGAACCCCCTCCGCCCGCCCGCCTCTCTGTAATTCAGATTATTTCAATTCATATTTCATCCTCGGCTGCTTTTATTCCAACGTGATCTGTTATTCACGTCCTGTTTCAAAGATGTAACAGAGCCAAGGTCACTGATCCACGCTGAGAGAGAGAGAGAGAGCGAGCGAGAGAGAGAGGGAGAGAGAGAGAGAGCGACATGGGGGGATTATAGTCTAAGGAAGGAGAGACACAAACCAAACAGAGACTGAAGATCTAAAATTGGTTTCTGAAACTGGTGGACAATAAACAAACCTGGCAACCCGGAGAACCCAAACAGAGTCACTCTGAGAAAACTTTTCATGTTCTTCCTTTTTGGCCGAAACTCAATTCAATATTTACTTTGAAAAAAGTCCAAATTCAAACAAACAAAAGCAGAAAACACATGAAACAGTTCTGAGCTTTTTAAACCTCCTCTTCTTGTTTTTTTTCTTTAATCCCGTCATTTTATTATTTTCCCTGTATTCTTCTGTATTCTTTATTTCCCATGATGCTTTGTCCACTCTGACAGTTCATCGGTAAT